TGACTTCCGCTAAAATTAACAGTAAAGAAATGAATATGGGCAGAATTTTCATTGGTCATTTTAACACTAATAGCCTGTTCGATTAATACTTTAGAAGAGCTTCTGTAGATGTCTGTTCGATTGCGCGATGGCAAGAAGTGTTGGAAAAAAGATATAAGTCAGAATAAATATAAAAACACAATAATGATATTTTCTATATTTTTTTACAGCTTTTCAATAAATATATCAAATTAAATATAACAAATCGCCTTTTGATACTTTTGCGTTCGATTGGGTTTCTCTTCTAAGCTGTTCTAGTCATTATATTCTCTTCCCGAACGGACAAAAGACGATTAAAACGAACTTTGGACTAATTTACAGTTGCAAAGTTCTCCGTGGAATTAGTGTACAGTATCTACTAAATATTTGTTTTATCATAAATTCATATTCAAATCAAATTCCATTTTGATTAAAATCAAATAATATAAGTAATATTGTTTTAATCTACTATGTCAATTAATTGGAAAAAAACATTGCGGGTAAAAATGAACTGAAATAAAACTATTGAGGACGAATAAAATGTTCTGTTTGCGTTAAGCATGGTTAGAAGTAGTTTATCCTATGCAAGTTAACAAGTTTGACTTCGGCCAGGTATCTCTTTAAAGATACTTTTTGTTTCTTTAGTTCTTTTTGGTTTGGTTAACACAGAGTAGGTCATATGGCGACTTTCCAGCTTTACTAGTAAAGAAAGACCTCAGGTGCCCCTTCGTGCATTTCAGGCACCTTATAACCTCTTGATCACGGGCGCCTTGATATTGTATGTACAAATTCTTGAATGTCATTGAAAATTACCCTTAAAATAGAAAAAAAACTGTAATCTCTACAGAACGCTCAAAAGAGAAAAATGAAAATGTTGCAGGTTGACTGAGTTTGATTAAGCTTGTTCATGGACAGCAGTGGGAATTACAAGCTACAGCCCACGCTTCCTTATCAATAAAAAGACATTCAACTATTAATAAATGCTGAAAATGTCTAATTATTATAAGATCAAAAGAATTATAATAATTAATTGGTAGTATAAATAGTGATTACTTTTCATTTTTGTAATGTACTAACTTATTAATCTCGAATATGATTAAAGTTAAACACAAAACGTAAGAAAGTTGGAACAGAAAAGGTTTTGAATAATATACAAACACACCCTATATTTGTCTGAAATTGATATAGGAAATCCATCTAATTTAAAAATAATATACCACTTAAATGGAATAATTTCATTAATTTAGAAGGACATTCTACAATTTTTGCCGATGAATAACTTGACGATTTCTGCTTAAATTTGCTTCGTCGTTTATTTGCAGTATTATGCGTTAGTTGCACGCCAATAAGCTTATAAGGGGTAGCGCGTGAAGTGTTTGCACACTTGGTTCAAGAATACGAAATGTTTGCAAAACTTTTAAATATGCCCATTCCTTAAGGCCATGTTTATGACACACTCGGTTTTAGGTTTCAGTTTCCAAGCTTTTGATTTAACAAAGTTATTGAAGATACAAACTGGTCATGTAAATGTTTCGAGATATGACAAGTGACTTTTCTGATCGTTTCTCGTCCCATTTATTTATATTTGTATTTAAATTTACAAAATACAAAATATATTTCTGTCAATACTATAAAAATGTTTTAATGTATGTGTCCTAAATTAAGTTTCAATACGCAACAATATTGTTCAAGGGCATTTTGGTTGCAAACTTAACGCAACTTTGGTTGCAATTTTATTCCTATTATTTTTAAATCAAATATAAAACTGCAAAAAAGGTTCAACTAAAGTTATGTTTATTAATCACAGATATTTTGTTGGCAATTATATACAATTGTTAATCTTAGCGGAAAGAATAAAAATGTCAGACATTCAACAAGATTAAGATGTACAATGTAATATATCCGCTTGTGTAAATCTGCTAGAATTCAAGAAGTAAAAAGTAAAAAAAATAACCTGTCCTATCTGATTGAACAAAACTTTTTGATTAAGTCAATGGTGAACATACAGATTCCTAAGGAAGCTTTGTAATTAAAGACATTCTCATAGGGGTCTGGTGTGATTAAAAGTATTTACAGACTGATATATTTTAGTACCGTAACTTCACCACTTGTTAGTAAAATGTTGAATTCTATTCAAGAAGATGCAATGGGTGTCAATAGAAACTCACAATTATCATCACGCTTTTTTAAGAATTTCGTTGTTACTTGTTTTATTGTAATTAAAAATCTTAATTGCACTGCAAATGACTTAACAAAATTGATATAATGGCCATTTAACGTGTCTTATGGTTCATGTATGTTGGTTTTGACATGGCTGCAGGGTGACATGACTACAACTGTATATATCTTGATTGATAATTTTTAATATTAAAGATACATAATTTAACATTGAACGTAAGGTAAAACTTGAAAATCACACAAGTCATATTCATCTTTGGAACACAGTCTTCTGTACTACAAGGTCTATACATTCAAATATATGTTATTTTTCAAAAAATGTGCTGTTGGGCTTTGCGTTAGTGGAGGAAGTATTCTGTGAACGACGGTTTCTCTTGTTGTTCTTTGTATTCATATTTGAAGTAATGATAAATCATTCATTTGATAGAAGATCCAGGTTGCGAAGATTAAAATAAGTATCCAATGTAATTTATATGATTAATTTTGTCTTGTGACATTGATCAACTGCTCAGTTTATTTGAATTGTTTACTTTTAAACGAATTCTGCCTAATGAATAATATGGAAATAAAATCAGCATAGAATCTCATTTTAACAAAGGCATGAAAACAATGAAGGATAGACTGTTCATATGTTAATATGACTCATATGTTAATATGCATTTCTGTAGCAAAACATTGTATTCTGACATATTTATTTAAATTAATTATGTGTAAAACGCTTATGTTTTTTACCTTGGCTGAAATGATTCTCCATTAAATAAACGTAACCTCTTACAACGTTTTTGTTCTATAAAAATACAGTGTACAAAAGGTGTTTTGCTTCGCAAATAATGATCATTAAAAAGGGGAAGAATTGCATAAGAGGTTAAATTCATTTCGGTTTCCTACAGCTGAAATTTAAGTCGTATAATTCCACCAGCTTATTATATAAGGGCTTTGATCTCGGTAAATATCACACAAACTAGGTTCATAGACCTGGACATTCCCCTTATCACCATACAATAATTGAATAATATTATACAACTGGTATTATTTTTTTGGAAATGTGTATGTAAGCAAATTGCTAATTCTAACATGTGATTAACTTTTCTATTGTTAAATTATTCATTTTAAGAAAATTAAGTGTGTGGATTCATTCTTATAGCTTCGTGTTGATATAAAAAATAATATGGTGCAAAGTGATATTGATATAAGTGCCAATTTATCTACAGTTTACCTAGCGTTAGATTTATTCTTAATTTCTCGGTTAATTAAGCCGAAAGTTTTTGGTTTCTGTTGTTGAAAATCACTTGAAAAACATGAATCTTAGTCAAACTTTCTCTTGCGACACATATATTTTTATGCATTATTAGTGATAGTGCTAAAAGTCACATGGACTTATCTTTTTATTATAAGTGTCATACTTTATTATGTCATTGCAGGTTTTATAATCATCCCATCTAGATATGCAAATGCCTGAAACATTACCTTAAATAGAGTCAAGTGGCAAATTTAAAAACAAAATAACTTCGAATTGATGTATTATACTTTCGTCGTCATTCACTGCTTTCAACACCAGTGACAGGTTATGACTGAGTAGTTTATTAAAATAAAGCTTTGCGTTAAATTTCATTGTAGTCTTCATCTTGTAAAGTTTTTCTTCTATCCGTATCATACCTTCTTTCTATTTCTATATCCGTTAAGATACATAAGAATGGGCATCGGTGGCAGAGTGGTTGAGGTCGTTGACTTCAAACCACTTGCCACTCATTGCTGTGGGTTCGAATGCCTATTATGTAAGTAAGCTATCAAAATAGCTTACGGAACGTCGGTGCCCGTTTGTGCCTGAAATAATTCATGGAATGGTATTTGAGGTCTTCCTCCACCAGTCAAGAGACGTAAAATCCCCCACAAATAAATATAAAAAAGCCTCACATTACAAAACAGGTCAGGAAAGTTATACTTATGATAATATTTCTGACAGCATAAAATTACAAAACAATATAGTGTATTATAAATTTCATTTCAGATATGTATCTAATATATCGTGTTCTTTATAGTAAGCTTTTGAATTCGTTTGTAATCCTTATAATATATAAGGAAGAGGAATGTTGTAACAAAAGTTTTGACGACAGATGTTTTACGGTGACTAATTATAACTTATTTAGTGGGAGTTTTTTCCAATGTGTTGTGCAGACACATATTGTCTAAACAATGTATTATAATCCATCAGTAATTTTTCCACTTCGATATAATTTACTTGTAATTTGCATGTTTTAGCTTCTCAGGTTTTTAAACATCGCAATTTAATGGACTTTGAAAAAAATACGTTTTCGACCATGTTAAACATGACAAAAAAATAGTTTCGTGTGAAAAGAAAGAGTTTCGTATGTTATGCGTTATTGTTTAAAGCGCATTATGCATAAATATACGAATAATTTTCCCGGAAACTATTTTTCACTCATTTTGAAAATTAGCAGTTCGTATATTTTCCCCGAATTCGCTTATCTCTGAATCAAAATTGCTGTGAATCAAAATTTTGTTTTTTTTCACATATTTTTGTTGCCATTGCTTTAGAGCCTTTTATTCCAGAATATTTATTTTAAATGGGTCAGATGTTTTTCTTTGTTAGATATGCAAGGTCTACAAAATAAATATGCCTGTTATAGATATAGCTATATTTGCATAATGTTTCTTTAATCTTATTTATGTAAAATATTTTGAATGGTAGTTATATAGATATATAAACTACATATTCACCAAACAATGCCTTGTCCAAACTCCTTTTTGTATGCAACAGTCATATTAAAACACAAAAGTCAATGTAACACAAACAAAATTCAACATTTTATTTAAATGAACAACGTTATAACAATGTATATACAAATTGAAAGACAACGTTTACACAGATCCTTACAAATAATTCAAGATAACCATTTACCCTCACCATCAACAGTTTACTCAACAAAAGATCATATACGATTTCCAGCAAAATTACATGCTTCGAAATTTTTCAAATATCACTAAATTTGGAAATACAAATAAGCGTCAAAAATCGCTCAAAAATGTTAAAGCATTTTGGTACATAAATTCTTTATGCATTACGAAATAAATACAGTTTATTGCATTTAAATTCCAGTAGTTATTTCTAGAACACTGTGTCCTTTACATTAAGGAGTAAAGACTCCGCGAAATTATCGAGCCATATCCAATGTACATCCAAATATGGCGCGTTGGAGAAAAAGGTCGAAATTTTATTTGTATTAATGTAAAGAAAGTGTTTCTGTTCGAGCACCATACCCAATTGAGGCAGGTCTATAACTTTTATAATCTATACAAAGCGTGGTATGGCCGTTCGTGATATCAAAATTGAGACAGTGTTACGGCTGGTCGTAAAAATCAAATTTGAGACATTATTACGGCTCGTATAGGGTATCAAAATCAATATAGTGTTATGGTTCGTACGATATGTCAAATTCGACATCGCTGTGCTCATCCGATGAACGGTCGGAAGAGTGTACTGAACTATCTGTCAAGAAGCTCGTTTCTAAATCAAGAAGGCTTTCAATGGATTGAATATCTTGAGCTTCACAATGGTCTTGTTCATTGTCATTCTCTTGGTCAATAACGTCTGCTTCACTATGATTATTACTGTTCGAACATTTGTTATTTGAGGTATCATTCCGTACATCACCGTTAATAATTTTGTCCTGCATTTGATATGCATTCCGAAAAGTCTGAAACTTATTATTTTTGGATGGACTTTGCTCAAGATTAGAATGCTTTAACCTCAACATGGGTAAGTTGCCACCCTTATAGACGTCAGGATTGGAGGAAGAGTGCCGGAGAGAGCGACATTTACAGTTTTTTTCCAACTCTTGTAGTGAACACACAGGCAAATGTTTAAGTGATCTTGCGCTTGGTATCGACTGATGTTGGCTAAATACTGATCGACATAATTTTGGCGACATATCTTGGGCTATACAGCTAGAGCATTCATGCAACGAGCCCCCTCCGTTACAAATACTGTTCATCGTCACCGGATACGTGTACATTTCACCAACGTTACTTGATTTTAAACCCCTTGACGACAAATGAGAAGATTTTTGTGAGGACTTTTGTTCTTTTGGCTGCAATAACTTTCGTTTTAGCACAGAAATTTCTTTCTTTCGTTTATCCAACTCTTTTTGCAGTGAGTCATTCTGAAAAAAGTAAACAGTTTACTTTTACAACATTCAGATTTGTAGATTTCTTTTTCAGTTATCTGAAATATATTTGTTTGATTTTATTGCGCTCGGCAGGTACAGGCTCAATCAAACCGAGCCTGCAACATTTTACAATTTTGTCATGTTGGACTTTCTTAAGGATTCTGTTTTTCACAATTTTATTAGAAAACTAAAATCTTCGAAAATGTGCAAACTTACTTTTTGTTGAAGACTTTGGACTAAATCTCTAGTTGTCTGAAAATCAAAATAATATTTCATTAATAAATAAAATTTTTACTTTGATCATGAACACATTTTTTGCGCAATATTTTAACAGTTCAAAATCAAAATGAAAAAGAGGAAAGTATCATCTTTAAAAACAAATTAACAACTTTACAAGATTTGATAAATATCTAGCCTATAAATCACAACAGTAAAATCAATGACAAAGCAAACTCATTTCAATCTCTATGAAGGCCAGTATCTTAGATATGCTGTAACAATTAAATATTATAAAACGCAACTTTTTTCCAACTAGTGTAAAACTATCCCGATTTTTACAAAAACACATTTTTTATTAAAGATAATTACAAAAACGTACTTGACTATCGAATTGCCTCAGCTCTCCTATAACCTCTTTTAATTCGTTCATCTCAGAATCTGTAAAAAAAAATAAAGTATTTATGAACATTTTAAATTGCTGAACTATATTCCAGCCCAAAAATTACAGATTTAATTTACCTGAAGGTTATCAAAACACTTTAAAATAAGTTAATAGAAGTTCCACACGACATTGAACAATATGTGTTCCTTAACACAAAACTATTCATCAATAAACGATCAAATAGTAAGATATTTTTTATATAAAAAGCAATTAAAAAGTAAATAGTTTTAAAGTATCTAATTTTCCATGAGTACCAGTAAAAAAATCCGTAAAGTTATAATATAGAATAATAAGAATAATAGATATATTACGTCTTGAAGATAGAAGCTTCCTAAAGTTGGATGACCGGATAACTTTGAGGAGAAGATCTTTCTTTTTACCCGGCCGTTGATCATCCGACGACATGTCAACGGAATGCGGGGAAGATTCGTCAGGTGTACTTGCACGACGCATCTCCTTATTCTTCTCTATTCTGAGGAGAGAAAAATCTTACACAAGTTATGTTCTAGTTTTGAGTCTGGTAAATATCGACTAATTTATTATTATCATTATTATCATCATTATTATTATTATTATTATTATTATTATTTGTGATTCTCAAGTGATCTTGACGGCCACAGCCGAACAAAAGATTAAAAGTGTCGAGATTATCTATGCATACGGGATGGTTTACTTGTCGAAGACGATTGACTGAACTATTGTAGGAACATCATTTTCAGAAAATCAGTATATTGATGTATTGATATCTAAAAAAGAAAAGTGTCATTCTTTTGCATCACCTGAACTCTTTATTGCAATAATAAAACGTCATTTATTCACCTTTCTTTGGCTTGTTGTTCGAGAATACTCTTTGCATTTGGATATTCAACTAAAGCCTGAAATTGCAACATATCAAAGCATTATTCGTTTATTTACAGACAAAAATGTTTCTGGTTTAATACCCTAAAACATTTAATATGCATGTACTATAAAATTTATGCAAACAAACAGAAAGCGGCATATTTGTAATATTTAACAAATAAGGAAATCAATCCAGTAGTTTATTCAGGGGTATACATAACAATGCAATGTCAGACGTGTTGAAATTAAACCTAATCACCAGAGCGAGTGCACCAGTAATCAAATACAAAAGCTACAAGGCGGGCATATATCGCATTTCATAATGCTCCGCCTGTAATGTTTTAGTGACATCATTTGCCAGATGGCATCATAATTTACATCTTTTTTTTTCTAACTGATTTAATCCTGTAAATTGCGTTATTCATGCGACATATTTTCCGGAATTTACTCTAAATAAAGTCAAAATGGTGTCACTTAAGAAGTATATAATTATAGACACCACGTGATTAAGCATTACATCATACCGACATGAGATCCTTTCTGGACAAACGTAACAGTTCTGAATACCCGACAGCTTTAACATCCGCGGTGCGTCTGCAACATCATCAAATACAATGCTTAATTGTTAATATCTTCATAAATCATAAATAAAAATATTATAAACCGTTTAAATGAGACAATTTGATTATTAAAAACATCTTTCTGGAGTTTATTATAAAAATCATGTAAATTCGACATTAAAGATTGTTTGATAAGTATTTATTTAGACATCTATTTAATACAATCGATTTCTATTTCCATCTGTACCAGGAATTAAAAGGTATTCCTTTTTATGCATTAAATGCAATGCGTTGGAAACTCGTTATCTTTTATCTTATAAAAGCGTTTCTTAAAATATCTATCAAAGTTATTAAAGAGCGCACATAAGTGTTATTTAAATATATACAACCACGATGTTTGATCATGATGCTTTTGTATGGAGGGTGATTTATGCCAAAATTACATCTTGCTTTCTTAAGATACATCGTGCTTTCTAACTTGTACATCGTGCTTTATAACTTGTACATTATGCATTCTGACATATACATCTTGCATTCTGACTTTTACATGTTGCTTTCTTACATGCACATTATGCTTTCTGCCGTGTGCGACTTGCATGTCGTTATTTAACGATCAATTATTATTCATTTGTTGATCTGGTAAATTAATTCAATAAATTAACCTGCAACTGTTTGTAATTGGGTCTATTTACTCAGCTTGAATGACGAATGTCATAAGGTAGAATGCGCATAGCCGAAAGCCGAATGCAGCAAGCATAATACAACGCGACATCTGGTGTAATAATATGTGACACCCAAATTATGCTAACAGGTGACGCTACAGTTATATTCTCGGTAAAGTCCGTATTGCGGTTCGGAATCAGTTTACCAAGTTACGTCCCTTTGTTTTAAAATTTCCATTTGCACTCATGGAAACGATTTAACCAATTTTTATATTTATTAATGAAACTCTGTAGGTCAAATTATATTTCCAGCTGACAATGACAAGTTGCACATTTCCAAATCAATGGTTTTAGAAATATTTTTTTTCATCAACAAAATAATTATAAAATAGAACAGTTGTTCAACATTGTTCAAAGTGCTTGGGCCATAAAAAACTTCTTATTAAAATATTTCATCCTCTTGAAAAGTTCTTAAATTTTGACATGGCTTATTTCCAATACCTGTGACCATCCACAACATTTTTAATGTGTTTTTATTAATTAGGACATTTTCTTGCCTATTTTCAAACTAATTTTGTACACACGTTAGATTTTTTAAATTCAACTTGTCAAAAAAATGTCTTTTTTTCCCACTAAGTTGCTTTATGAATACGGCCCAGGTTCTTGTTCACAGTGTCAGCTTAAAACTGAAGGAACTGCTGCCAAAATCAGCTGATTCTGAGAAAAAAAATTAAAATAAAATGTCAAAACTGTCTAGTCTGTCAGACTTAAGACAGTTTTGCCTTTTTTTTCTTTTGCAGCGGCACTGGCTACCTCTCTTCATTTGAATTTTTATATCACAGGTACCTTCTCATTTTTTAACACATACGTACCCACGAGGCACGACATATGCTTTTATTTGCGTTAATCGTTAAGTATGTAATATTTACATAAAAGTAAGAAATATTACATACCTATTTAACGATTAACGCAAATGTAATAAAAGCATATGTTGTGTCATGAGGGTACGCTGCAAAACCGAAAGTTGGGTGTTTTTATGAATTTTACATTTATTTTTGACAATATACTGCCATTTGTCCGAAGATGATATGCAAATGAACATATTAAATATGTATGATGCATATATAATCAAGCCCACGGTTCATTGCAGCCCGAAAAGTATGTTGAGGTGACATGTCGATTTTTGTAGCTTATTGCGAAGTTGCAGTACATGACAAACGGGCACATGACAAATCAGCACATAAATAAAACATTCTAGTGTTCCGTGGTATATATCTTTTGTACGTGTCAAACCCCTTTCCTTATAACATTGAAATTTTACTGGATTGTTATCCATCGCTGGCTTATTTTTAGCAGAGAATGACCAGTGCATGTGTAAAGAGGGTACCGTCAGAGCAGATTTCGCAAAGAGGGTACCGATATAGATATGCACCGTGGTGTAGCTTTAGTAAGAATGATTTCATAATATTAATTGATGAGTACATAAAAATACAATGTACAAAAATGGTCCCTAGAAATGGTTATAAAATGAATATTGCATGTTTGGCTGAAGATGCCTTATTAGTAGTTTTCTATAATTAAAGCGTTCATGATATTGGAAATGTATAGCAGATCTTACTCATTCAAAACAAAAAAGTTTTATACCTTAAGGCAATAGTATTTGCAATACAAACACCACTGAGAATGTAGAAAAAAATGTTTATTAATATCTTCTATGACAAACAATTCATTTGATTTTATAACCATTTCTTGGAACGTTTTTGTACATTTTGTTTTTAATTTACTCATCAATTAATATTATGAAATCATTTGTCCTAAATCTAAATCGTTTTGTATATTTTTTCCATGAGTGCAAATGGAAATTTTAAAACAAAGGGACGTAACTTGGTAAACTGAATCCGAACCGCAATACGGACTTTACCGAGAATATAACTGTAGCGCCACCTGTTAGCATAATTTGGGTGTCACATATTATTACACCAGATGTCGCGTTGTATTATGCTTGCTGCATTCGGCTTTCGGCTATGCGCATTCTACCTTATGACATTCGTCATTCAAGCTGAGTAAATAGACCCAAATACAAACAGTTGCAGGTTAATTTATTGAATTAATATACCAGATCAACAAATGAATAATAATTGATCGTTAAATAACGACATGCAAGTCGCACACGGCAGAAAGCATAATGTGCATGTAAGAAAGCAACATGTAAAAGTCAGAATGCAAGATGTATATGTCAGAAATAAATGTACAAGTTAGAAAGCACGATGTACAAGTTAGAAAGCACGATGTAACGTAAGAAAGAAAGATGTAATTTTGGCATAAATCACCCTCCATACTTTTGCGTCATGACCTATTTAATGTGTTACATTAACAGCCCTTAAGAAATGATTTCGTATAAGGGTCTAAAATTATATTATAAAATTTTATTTGATGCGACATTTTTGTTAAAACAAATCTTTGCCATCCATTGTTGAATCACCATACATAGCCTGGTTATTGTCCAATATATAACAAACATTTTAACAAAACAAACTGTAACGCATCATGTTTATTAACTTTTAAAATAAATGAATTCCAGCTAAATAATTGTAATTATCTGCGACATACTAACCTATTTTGCCCGTCGTCAAGTTTCAGCAAACTTATTTCACCAAAGTAATTTCCTGGCGATAATGGTGCAACGACTGTTCGGTGGCCATTTTGTTGATTGGGTACTAATATCTGAAAAGTACAAAAGCAAAACATATTTTAGCATTTGTATGAAATTACTCAATAACAATTCGAAATAAAGACAAAATATACTATGTAATGCTTATACATAAGTAAAACTTGCGTATAGAAGCCCTTTAGTTTTTAATAGCTAAATAAATGTAAGTTCGAAATGTAGAGATAAAAGTCATTACCTCAACTTTGCCATGATTAACTATAAACATTTCCTTTCCAACTTCTCCTGTCCTACAAATGAAATCACCTGGAGAGTAAACTTGAGGCCTTAGTTTGAGAACAAGCTCACGTAAAAGACCCTCTTCGCATTCTTCGAAAATCTTTACCTTAAATAAGATTATTACACATTACATTCGTATGTGATATGTATAGTGGTGAAAACTAATTACTACTTTTGAACCAAGCATTGCTACTGTCATACCTTTGAATTAAATATAACAACATTAATGCTGAAGCTGTAGATTAAACCTTTTCATAAAATCATAACTATTTTCTTAGTCTTTAAACTGGTATTTCAACTTTACAAACAGATTCAAGCACTATAACTATTTTTATGATAAATACCTTTTTTAATGTATCAAGGTGGACATTTATAGCGATTTCAGTCCGAAGTCTGTCAGGTAAGAGTTGCAGAAGAGAAGGCTCGTCAATTGATTGTGTTCTGTAATAAATAATTTTAGATATGTATATTATTTTGCATTTGCTTAAGATTATTGCTTAATAAACATTTAAAGAATAAAATATTTCATTTCTAATTATCAACTAAATATATTCAACGAAAGTAAATCTTTGTTAAAATTAATGTTATGGTAATAAATATGGAAACTTTTATAGATATTGTTTGTTTAAATAATCATATGCATATACAAATATCATAGATAAATGAATGTAGAAGTTATGTCTTTTACATGCTTTAAAATACAAGCATACATTTCTACATGGAATAGGTGACAAGTGAAAAAGAAATTATCATCTAGGAGAATTAATATAAATTTACCGTTTCCACGTGTATTCTGCCCATCTTTTTACCCTATTTTGTAACTTGTCATCTACATGTCTGTGTTGAAGATATGATTTTATCTGATCCATTCTGAAATTAATGATAAAATTGTCATGATTGCAGAAAATTATATGTTTCTTTTGTCTTAAATTTGATTTTAGTATATGACTGTTGACATATATTAAACATAACAGAAGAAATTACCAAACAATATCCATCAAACACTATTTGCTATTAGATATGTATCTATTTCTCATTATCAATTATCATAAATCATTGACGTGAAGAAAATTGGTTTTGAGTGAGATGCTAACGTTCATAGTTCCTTTTAAATAAACAAAATTTCCGTTTGTAGAAAAAAGTGCTCCAAACCTTGACTGAAATTCTGTTCTTGCGGCGTTCATGTTACTTATGACGTCACCAACATTACCAACAACGGCAGCGAACACGAAAACACCAATAAGAAAAGTCAAACCAGTAAATACAAATTCCTGTAAAGAATGATAACGAACGTAAGCATGATTAATTATAAGCATTTAAGCCCCTACTTCGCTGAAAATCTTACATGTCACCAAAACGACTCATCGTTTTATGAAACATTTCTAAAAGGTAAATACCCTGTAGTTGCAGACCATGATAAGACGACACGGATCTGCACTGGTCGCATAGGTTGTTTAAGTCACTAACAGCATGGCAAGTGTCAACATCAACAATTAAATAAAATTATTATTTTTTTATCTCCAACATCAAGATTTATTTTTTCAAAAATACATGTAGGTTTAAACTGTCAGTTATCAAGCAAATCTAAGATACTAAATGTGATATTTTGGTCGCTGTTTCAAAACATTATGGATATTTGAACCACTTGATAGTCTTCTTGATGTTAAAAGGAGCATAAAATTTGACGGAAACTTAAGAAGTTTGTAGAATAAAATAAACTTACAAGATCTGTTTCAGGTGGGGGTCGCTCACCTATTGTTGTCAGGGTCATCAGCGACCAATACATTACACGAATATACTTCCTAAAATAAGATTACAATCATAGGAATATCAAAGTTTTGTCGACATTAAATGAAATTACGTATTCCATTTCATTTGGTTCAATATGTCTAAAAGGCATTAAGCTTTTGTAAACATAAACGTAATAAACATGTTTTCAAATAGAGTTTACAAAAGTTTATGATTTGATTTAAATCAAACTTCATTAGTTCTTTAAAAAATAAAATTGCTCCATGTTTTCCGCAAATTAAATAAAGATGTACCTCAATACTTACATTTCCAAAAGAAACTTACACGGTGTAACAATCTTGATATATGTTTCCAAATTAAATTCTAGGCTCCACACGTAAAAGCCTGTAAACTAGTATCCAACAAGAATGAAGTTCTCATGCTAAATAACAATTTAACTAATATTTAGCGATTTTTGATATGTGAGTCCATAAGAATAAATGATAAAATATCACCTACAAGTGTATTTGTGTAATTAGTATTGTGAATTATACATACCTAATGAATGAACTATACTCTTGTCCACTAGGGTACACCCAGCTGTTTGAACCAAGGCCTTCATACTCAGACAGTACGTAATATACACAGCCGATCCAATGGATAACAACCCAAAGGTTCAATGTTAGTTTGAAAGCTCTGATCAGATTTGGATTCCTCGTACGACTGAAACATGAATTAAAAAATCACTTATAAATTATTTTGATTGGTTTGGTTTTACGGTGCCCCAACACAATTAAGGTCACATGGCACCTAAACAGAAAAGGTGGAGATTTAAGCTAACCTTATGTGATACAAACTTAAAGCAACATCAGGTGTCGAAACCACCTCATCTACTGGAACTAACAGATGCAAAGACTCCATTTCTTTCGAACCCATTTAGTCGCCTCTTACGCAGGGATAAACGGAGGTTGCAGTTATGATGCCTCAACACTGAAAGGCAACACCCCACCCACAAGGAAGGCTTATACATTGTATCATAATCAACTCAATTGGGGTATCTTATTTGTCTTTTTAATTGATTATGACAGATAATTCAAAATGTAGAACCATAATGTATTTTGTAAAATAATGAACCTCTTTTTTCTTTATTGAAATATCTTTTAAACTTACCCTAACCATTAATATGGGTTGATCATTGTTGCCAAGAACATACTACATCATTTCATTTGCCTACCACATAAGTTATTAAGAATGTATAGTAAATGTGCTTTATTTTGTTCCCGAAACAAAATTATGATATGATAAATAAATCCACTAACCGGAAATATAGAAAAATGAATCGATGTATAAAAGACTGCCGAAACCTGCAAACAAATTAAAGCAAACTTATTATCTTTTTAAAATGTGAATGTAAAGTATTTTATCGCGCAAACTTAACTAATAAAACACAAATTCAAAAACGAAGCAATATATAAATGATCAAGAACATAAACCTAAATAAACATGTGAAACAGAACGTCATTTGAGAAATATATAGAAAAATATGACATATCTAAAACAGCTCAAGCTCAATCAAAACGTGCACTAAACATTACTGGAGAAAGCAAAAACGAGGTCATGATATACATACCCGATATTATCTTGTAAACAGTACCAAAAGGAAGTATCGCAAATACCGCAAGTTTAAACTTGTTGCTTTCTTTATATTGTTCCATTATTTTCATTGGATCCAATACCTGTTAAAAATTCAAATATACATTATTCCTGAAATGTTTTTAGAATGCTTTATATCTTGATTACGATTGTTCATACGTCTGTTGGAAAAGCTCACGTAAAAAGTCGATCTTATGATGAAATCATAAATATATTGTCGTTATAATGTCTAGGCTTTATCCCTAATGACCACAAATTGGCTTTAAAGCTGTCTAAGATTATACTCATAACTATGAATTATTTGTCTTAAGATGGCTTTTGCTATTCATATAACCGCATTATTAATATCGGTTAATAGTACATTGTGAAATGTGAATGACCAAACGTTAAAAATGACGGTAACGAAACTTTGGACTTTTAATGGCATATGGTATTAAATGCGTGTAAGATTATTTAAGAAAATATTTCAGAAATAAATGCTTTCTTACCAGACACCCATCTTCGTAATAAGAGATACGAAGGTGAACGAATATGTCAAGAATGTATATAATATCTCCAATAGTGTCCAACAAATAAAATACAGAATCTTCCATTGCCTGAAGGTAAAAGTTCATTGCATATTACTAGTATCGTGATAAAATAATGGCAAAATTATTGATGTTAAAACTGTTGATTTTGGTTACAAAAATATATCTATATGATACAAGAAATTTTATATTATACGATATAAAGAGAAAACAAGTATAAACCAGGTGGACAAGAAGGAGGAAAATGTTCCTGAATGATTCGTAAAAGCTCAAACTAATAACACCAGTACATGCGTTTTGGTTTCTAATTACAATTCGTTATAAAAAGCCAAATAATCATGAACACTTCCGGATTAAATTATGACTTATAGTCAGTACTAACCGGGTCCCTCATTTCTTGGAAAGCTAGTCGTAGGACTATGACAGCAATATTGTAGATAACGGCGATGGTAACAATACCCTGGAAAATATATCATTCATAACAAATAAGAAATTTTTCTTATAAACTCTTAAAAGACAATTAATTGATACTGATATGGAAACCAATAAAAATTACATTATTACACTTCATAAAATTTAAGTACTGAATCTACAGCATTTGAACATGATATCTCCAAATATATCAATTAAGAGTCCAAAAATCTATATAAAATATTTATTGTACTAGAAGTAATGGGGATGTGAAAAAAGAGGCAATTATCAATTGTTGAATACATTACTGATTCCTTTGAACTGGACTAGCATATCACCCAATATAGGTCAAACAACTGTGTGCTCTCGTCCAATATTATTAGTTTTGTAATCACATAATATCTTAATTTTGGAGAGAAATAAAAACAACCCCTGAGAGTAATGAAAATACAAAAAAAAGTTGAAAATAACAGACTCGGATTTAATGACTTTGATCATGAGACAAAATTTGCAACATCTATCAGTTTCCGCCCTCTCTCTCTCTAACACAGACATAAACAATATATTTTGTTCTAAACACTTAAAGTATTGGATTCATTGATGCAGCGGGTCTAGAAAAATGTATCAAAAGTTATTATTTACCAGCCAGTAGTAGGTTATGTTTCCGTCAGGATCTAGAATAATGTCAGACAATGAGAGATCCTCTAGTCTAGAACCCTGAAATGATACAAAAATATCTGATTTCATAACACAATTTAATGATTTCATTTATAGTAGCTTTGAAAAGAAAAGTTAAAGCTGATGATACAGTTGTATTTTGAATGATTTGAAATTCCATGCCATTAAAGTTTATTTCAGCATATAAATTACATTTATAAGCCCGCTAAGCTCAAGAATGATATTATATTATTTCTCAAAAACTGATAATTTTTGGTCTCCTGTTTTATTTTCCAAAAAGGTACTCATGTGGATGAACCATCTATTATTTCTTTCGCTCTTTTGGCAGTTGCTATAGTTAAAGAGATTCATTATATTGTTTTGAGATCCAAATATTACTTTGTTTACATTTTGCAACCTTTATGACACATTATTTCACACCGAACGCTACCTTCTTCAGTTGAATAAAAATAGAAATGTTCCTAATCTATTGATAACAAATTATTAATCTTTGACGTTTCTAAAGAAGACGGAAAATATTTATTTCTGAGGCTTAATTTGCCTTTAAATTGTTATTAATTTTCGCAATTGTATTCTTTCGCCTCACTTTCTTGTGCAAATTTATATTAAAAGTTGTTCAACGTTCGGAAATACAGCATTCATGTACATGTACCTGCAACACATCATTATTCCTGGAAAACATATCTCTGAAGTATAAATCATATAAAAGATAATAATAGTGTCATTTTAAATGACGTATATTTGCGTGTGTCTGACATCGAGTATGGGAGAGAAATGACACTTATTCTGTGAATGGCATGCGAATATTGATTGTAATAAAACAAAATATTCCAAGCTATTTGTATCAGTTTCGGTATTTTATTTTCTAAACAAAAGACCACACGAAATGTGCATGATGTTTGTATGATATGGAGAATATTTTTAACTTATTCTTACGATATTTCATAATTTTGTTATATTTTTTTCATTATATAACTTGCATGTACGTGACATGTATTTTAATATAATATTTACACTGTGTTTGTCGCATTTATCAGAAAATAAAATTATAATTATCACCAGAAATCTAATTTAGAGCATTCACCTACAATTATGGTAATTAAATGCTAAGTAAATGTTAGCATTGCAATAATTTGTGCTAGAAATAGAAATGTGACAGGCGACATAGTCTGGCTATTATATCATATTATTTATAGCTTCGATAAACGTATCTTATCATGGTTTTGTCATTGCCATAAGAATTACTTTAGTGTCGGTGGAGAAAAAAAAGTATCGTTCACCGTGTGTATCGGTTTGGGAATGAGGTTTATTTATTCTTTAAAATTTTTGAAATTTTTAAATTTTATGATCGAATAATCTCTATATCAATTTACATATTCACGCATATTATTTGGGGATGTGAGTCTTGTCATTGAGTTCAACAGACTCTCAGCCAACATCAACGAGTTGAAGAATGATACTATTTTTTCCTTTCCATTATAGTTCCAAAATTCTTTAAAAAATAGAACATATCATAACATGTAACATAGGCTATGTTTTCTTATTATATCTTGATTGTATATTAATAAGGAAAATACTAAACCGATATTTTCTTCAATCCAATTTCATTCGGAAACTGAAATATTTTATATTGTTCATCTTACCAATTTTGCATTTACCAGCACACTTTTGATATAATAAGACTGTTTATATTTTTATTTCAAAATCAGTAACTTTTCTTGTAAATTGTTATAATTGATAAATGTTATCTATGTTCTGTAAAATGATTTACTTTACTTTATGTTGGTAGCTAACCGAAAATAGTGATGGGAAGCAATAATCAATAAAGTCACTGAAATCAAATTCAGTCAAAATTTATTATAACATCTAAGTTTGAATTTACACTCATTGTTAAGTACTGGTTAGTTCAAAGAACGGATTCGAAAGTGTTTCAATAAGCTTATAGCTTACAACACAATCAAACTAGATTAAAACTAAACAACGTTAAACAATTTGGACTGTCTTCCAAGAACAGAACTAACAGACTAACTTTGACGATAGTTTCAGTGAAAAAGAGTGTAACATATTATGATTGTATATTAATATATTACCCCTGTAATGATTATATGCGTTGAAGTAGTCCCAAAGGTTTCACAGGATGGTCATTTTGTAATACAATATAAATGAACCGAGAACTTGAACCAGATTAGGAACAAAGGCTTTACTAAAATTGTTTCTTGTTTATTGGTGAATTTCCTTTTTTTATATGATTATGCTTAACATGATATCGTTATAACGTAATGAAAGAGTATCGGCTGATGTTTATTTAGCATACAATAAATATATATTTAGAAGATGAACAAAAAACACCAGCAATAATCCTTCTTAAATTATTTCACTTTGTTAAACATATAAGCGTTTCTGAAATTTGATATGTCCCTTCGGAAGAATATTGCGTCTTTTAGAACTAAAAATATCTCATAAAGAGAAAATGAGCTCATTTTCTAAGAAAGCAATAGGATATATGATCGTTTCTTTACTACAAATTTTATTCAATTTTCTAAACTAATAGTTCAATTTTACAGCATTATACAGGGTAATAAGCATCATCAGAACAGACCATATTTTCTGTTTAGCATTTTTTGTTCTGATAAGATTTAAAGAAGGCCGACTTAAAAGCATTTAAAGAAAGAAATGTGTTTTTTTTTCTCTTCATAAGAATAAAGAAAATGTTTAGCATTTATTCAAATTTCGTGTTTTTATAATGGCGAAGCAGGCTGTTATTTGTGGAATGATGACGAATATGGAATATGGCATGAAAACATGCAATAATAGGAAACATACAAAACATATTTCCCTTCATGCATTATTCAGGAACCTGTCTGACTGGAAACAGATGTTCCTGCAAAATCATTGACAGCATGCGTGTCTTGCTAAATTAGTCTGAAAATAACAGGCGAGAATCTTTATGACACTTGAAAATAATTATGATTTTTCTAACTAATACCACTTCCATTTTTCACATAGAAGACAAAGAATTTATCCTTATTTTAAGTTAGATGCTTTAAACTTCTTTTGTCATTCATTACTTCTTACTCTAAACATATTCAATTATTATCTTGACTTTGAAGTTTCTTTGTGTTAAATGACATCTAAATGTCATTATTGTTCAATGAGTAACATTTTCATGTAGACAATTGTCACAAAAACGTGAATATATCCGTACAAATTGAAACATACGCTGAAACTTTTCCTAGCTAAAAAGTCAACAGTTTCTCTATTAAACTATCGATCACAACTTCGTAATTCGTTATTTTGGCCCTGTAAATGACAACCGTGAAGTGTAAATTATTAGTCTGAAATCACTTTCTGTCTTTAAGGATTGTATTTCTTCAGTCCGTAATCGAAAACTGTCATTCATATCCATTCATTTCTAACTTCGGAAAATGTTTTTATCAGACATTCATCTAGTGAATATAGCATGACGGATAATTTCCACATAAATAACGTCTATTCTAACAGCAAAATAAAGATATTCCTTATAGACTTCAATATGAAATAAATAAGGATTGCTTTTGCAAGATGTACAGAAACATTACAGAAACATTGGTTGAACATTAAAAATGATTTTGTATAACATACTGTTTTTGAGAAGCTAACTTTATAATAGATCAATTTATTATGAGCGTTGCATGAATAAGAGAACTGTATATAATCAAAGTATATAACACCGGTAATGATAGAGTACATGTGGATTATGTAAATGAAACATGACTGTGAACAATGTTTAAGGACAGTCTTAGTTAATTAGCTAAGGTCGGCTACACTTAATCCTAACAAATCAATGAGAGAGACGAAGTCTGAACTTATATCCAGATTCTTTAACAACATTAGTGGTCACATAAATGGAGCAAATTTGTACATTGACGATACATATCTAGATAATTCAAAACCGCAAAGAAAAATGTTTTGTTGTGACTTTTTTCGGTATTATAAAAACAAATACATATACACTATTACTTGTTAGTTTAAACGAATTTGTTTTAGTTCGATTGTGTTGGAAGCTATAAGTTTCGTGAATTCGTTCTAGGAACTAACAAGTACTAAGCGATGAGTGTAAAGTTTCTTGCTCAAGAAAACAACAGCTTGCCCTTAACGAAGCTTGAAAACCATGCGGCCAGCAATTCTTAGATTACTTTTCCAACGTGTAACCACTCGGCCATGCCGCCATACCCATTAATTGTTAATTGATGTAAATTTTTATTACGTTTTCAAATAAAAAAAATCCGATATATAAGTACCATGAATATTGAAATATTATCAGATTATTGAAATGACAGAAGATTTACGTTAATTATTTGTAGCATTTTGCTCGTTTGACATGGAATGAAGTTTTTTTTACAAATATGATTATTTAGAATTATAAAGGTTCGTTCTTGTTTCGTAACAATTATTGCACACTTATGGTTCATTACGAATAAAGCAAAATACAGCTTTCTGTTGAAGACAGAAAAAGCGAAAAAGCGAAAACCTTTCTGAACCCCCAATAACAATGCAATAAGGACACTAAGGTCAATAATTCCTGTGGGTGTCTGACTCTGATTCATTGTGATTCATTGTGATACATAATTCACGACTAAATAATAAAGCAAGCAGGTTACATGAAAAGCTCAATATAAAATTGTAGTTTCATCAATTGATAGTCAAATGTAGTTGTAAAGATAACACATTTATATATTAAGATTAATACTATCCTTATAGTGCGCGACATTTATTTTTGACAGGTTAATTTAATACTTTCTCATAAATATTTCTTTCAAACAGAGACATTTAATGAAATCTATTAAATTTTCAATGAATATGTCTAATTTGAAAAAAGAATGAATAAACTATTAGTGGGAATCTGCGGTCCCTATTACGGATAAAGTAAAGTTTTTTTAATGACACTATACCTTCATATTGCGGCCACCTTTAATGAATATTAAACATGACTAATTTGTGTCATGTCAAAATTTTTTTATTTAACATTTTCAAAAAAAACTGTGTAGCATTTATCAATATTTTCTTATATCAAATGTGAGCACAGTATATCTTTATCAGAGATGTCATTTGGTATAAGACTAAATCTGTAATAATTATTATCAAAAACAAATGGTGATTCCAATCAGCTGTCTGTCTGACTGCCTACTCGTTGTCCGCATATCTTCAAGAAATAGATGAGCTATTAGCTAGCAAACAGTATCCTTATAAAAGAATGGTTGTACAAATAAAACGGAATCTTCAAATTATATGTAATAGTTAAAGCGGCGGGATGATTGACATAACAAAGTATTGTAATTATCTGGTGTCAATAGATAAATTACAATATAATCATATCTCGAAATTATAATACGTGCGTGCACGAGTGTATTAAAATTAATTCAAAATTTAATTAAAGTGTTTTAACTAGAATTATAAACTTTGATAGTTATGTGGTTTTAACAATAACTGGTAATTTGCTGTGTATTTTACAAATAATTTGCTTTGTTGTCACTAAAATAGGTACCGCATTTATAACTGCGTAAAATAGTTACTTAATATGACATAATCATATTGCAGGTATATATATTTACTAATTTCGAAAAGTTTTACTTGTAAAAGTACATCAAAATACATTTTAGTATAGATTGTGAGATATAGAAAACCATTTGAAGCAAAGAAGAATTACTGAAAGGTTAAACATGAACTTAATTCATATAATGTTTATAGACAGTAAAAAGAAAAACTGGTACTTACCCGAGATTGATTAGAACGCCGGATTCCCATTTCCCATTCGGGTGGATCTTCTTCAGTTTCTATATTATCTTCCACGTGACCAAAACCAGAAGGTCCGTCGTCATCCTCATCCTTATCTTCGCCGTCGGCATCAGCATTGTCTTCTGGTGCTCTACGTTCAAAGTTGTCGGTGTTTCTAACAGATAATGAAATATAAATGATATATATTAAATTTTATAAATTCAACTGAAATATCTTTAATACAGGCGTATATTCAATGCTGAAATTATAATCACTTATTACAAACTTACAAATTTCCACAAAAATGAGCAAGAGACACGTCATGCTTTTCATCCATATCGTTGGAGAAAAGGAAAAATGAAAGCTTTGTTACCCTTCATTTTTATATATATCAATAGAAAAACACTATGAGGCACCATCTGGTCCTGACAACATATGAAAGGGGTATTTGTTATTGACAAGATTTGCGTGTTAAAAACATGCTTAATGCTTGTCTGGAAACAACAATCGATCAAATTCATTTGTTGGGCTTATAAATTGTTTCCATATATACAGTTACTTACAATATAAGTCATTGTTTAAACCCGGTACTTAATTAAGTGCATGATAAGCTTTCAATCATTGTATTATCTAAGAACAGCGCGTTTTGAAGTGATATAAGTGTACATATTTAAATCATCTCTTTTCATCGCATCAAATCAAAAGTAACTTTCGACAGCTTTGAATATCATGTTGTTTAATTGTGCTTTTATTTATTAAAAGGCAGTAAGATACAATTGAAAGATGCAATATATAATATTAGGAATGCTTTCGTTCATGTTTGTTTAAATGTTAACATTTTATAGCTTAAAATGTTGCAATTATTAAGAAATTCATAGTTATTACTAGTCCGATAACAATATCTATCAGAAGATTATGTGCTAAATTAAAACTGTTTCATACTACAATTATCACAAATTATCATATGAATTATAGCGAATATTTTCTATCAAATGTCAAATTACCATCAATTATGTAATGAATGACATTGCTATATTATAGAGGACCTGATATGCATTAGGTTTTTACCCTTTTCTTGTTTTTATGTGATGTAAAATAAATAGAATTTCAAGAAAATTATGACGAGAAAGGAAGGGTACTCAAACAGGAAGACGATTCGAGATCATGAAAACAATGAAAGAGGTCATATTACAGTCTCTGTTTGATGGAGGAAATGAAAGAAGTGTGTATCATAAAAATCTGGAAAAAGTGTGACCCCTCGGAATCATTAATCACAACAAAATTACATGAAAAATTGCATACTCAGTTTGATTGAGTCTGCACATGAGGGATAATGAAAAAGTGCAACATCCCTCAAGCCCCTTAGCACCGGCTTGAGTGGGACTCAATTTTCAGCACTAAAAAGAAGTGGAATCAATGGTCACGAAGGACAAGAAAAATATAACAATACTGAAGTGGAGTACGGGCCAACTTATTACAACTACCACAAAGCATTTGAAACCATTTGTTGAGAAGTATAAAGTTCTGGAAAAGTGTGATTCCCACAACAAAATTACGTGAAAATAAGCCCTATTACTGGCTGTAGCGGTATTCAAACCTCAATATTAAAAGGACCAAGAAAAACATAACAATATTGCGATGACGTAAATATTAGTTCTCATGAATCAACAATGACGTTTATATCTTCTGAATTGTGAACTTTGAATTTATTTGACTTTTCATCGATGTAATTCCTTGTAGTCGAACATAAGTTTTTTATCGTTTTGAAATAATTTCGAAAGTAACCGTCAATACAAAAAAAGAAAATGAAAGGTCATGACATCTTGTCCTTAAAGGAATTGAAACTTCGTAAATGTTCAGCATTTCATGTACATAAAAATATTTTAGCCAAAGAATAAAAATAACATATAAAGCATGTAGCGTTTGTCATAGCCATGGGTTTCCGTTATGTTTCTATGACATTTGTGCGGAAATGACGTGTATATTCTTTGCAAAATTGCAATTTAGCTTTTCTAATAATCGTACAAAAGAAAATAAGATGAAGACTAGACAATGCATATTAAAGTTGTCCGAAAACATATATCTCCCGTGTATCCCAAATTTAACATAATCTAGAGTATCCTTTCAATAATAACAAATGTATGCATCATCCGACGAAGCAATGAAATAGGTATTTCCTAACTAGGTATGCATAGTAAATGCATAATTTAGTGACATTATTACGTAAATTAGCCTCATGAGTATTTTTATTAGTATCAGGTAATTTGTTTCCCTATTATAAACAAGCAAATCATGTCCTCAAACTGAGAACATTTGTATTCTGAGTTCATGAAATGACCTAGTTTTTTTAGGGAGAAAATTTACTGTAATAGATAGCGCACGTTCTAATGCCATAGAAATAAGCTATATGCGTCTGTTTGTCTCAGGTGGCAACCAATAATTTCTAATAATAAAAATTAAAAAAAATACAAGTTGATGTTTAAAAAGGAAATGTAATAAATAAAGCATATGTAATAAATTTCTGCACTGAAATAAGAAGTATTCCTTAATGTTATTCATATTAATTTCCCTTCAACACACTTATGTTTATCTTATAAACTTTTCTAACTTTTCTTTATATTTACTGACATTTTCTTTTTATTTTATAATCCGAACACAAGTTTTATATCTAAAACAAAACAAATAAAAATAAACACTTCGAGTGTCTTCTGATTTTGATTGAATTCATAAAGTGCGGATTATTCACAATCAAATAAAGGTCAATATCTATACAAAATACAATTCTTTTTTTAACATTCTGAAATGGAAAAAAAACATTAAAAGTGAAAAAGATAAAAAAAATTATGAACAATGAAAAACAAACCTCTTTCGCTCATTATATTTTCTAGACAGAAAGAATTTAATCCTTGACATTTTAATCCATTTAGTATATTGTCAAACTTTCTTTCTTACAAGTTTTTTGTATCTATTATTTTACAGTCCATTCTACTCCCGAAAGAAGGCAATCAAAGAAGAGCATCAACAGACACGAGATGAGCATCTTCTATAAATCAATACCAATTCACTCATCTGGTTCTAAATAAAAGAAATGTCTCTACTAAATTCTTAATAATGCAAATAAGTCTTGATTCAGACAAAGTTATAAATGAAAAACAACAAAATGCTTTTACATGTCCAACAAATGATTCAAATCACTAAAATCAAAGTAAAAATACATGTAAATTATACATGTTGCTGCATTTATCAGTAGGCGCTTTGTCTCCCTAGCATTATGTGGGATAAACAGGAGCTTTGTAGTGTAATTAATATTGCTAACTTTTGGACAGCCTTTTGGTATTTCAATTATCTGGAAAAAAAATGAATTTATGAAATCCTAAGTAAACATATTTAACATGAGTTACAATATCATTTGCTTAAATCTATATGATAAGAGTTTCTAATTACATTTATTCAAAGATATTCAATTTGCCGGTGCTAGGTGGGAGGGGATAGGGGCGATGCACATATCCAGTATCACTCATGAAGAGATTTAGTCAAAACGAGAGTTCGTGTAATTTAGCTAGTTTGACTTTTTCCAAAGGATTTCCCGTTTTCAGATTTTTAATAGAAAAAAAAAACATTCTGACAAAGTACATTTTACTTTCTGGGAATTATTACAAACTAACTTCAAGGAAACGGCTTGAAAATTTCCCAAGGACAGGAAGAAGCGCTGTGTCACATTCATAACAGACAATCACAGTCCCATGTGATATGTTAAATGTGGCTAAAACCAATAACCAGAACTTTTACCTCTTCACAGCCACATATTACCAACATTATAGGAAACTAATGTGATATCATAAATATTGCTTTTGGCAATCAACACTATCGCACAGTCACAAAACTGGACAAAACAGAATATTTTTTTCTATTTGATTTGTACAAAGTCAACCATCATTACTATTTAAAAATTATTTTTATATATAAATCTACATGTCAGTGAAATATATTATATAAGTTATTAGAAGTTATGTGTTATTAGATTTCGTTATAGTTTTAATAAGGATGAACATACATGTACTTTATCAGTTATTTTAGTAATATTCTAGCGTTGCTACAGACAACATGTGCTTTAATTATGAATCTAGCTATATTTTGTCTGAAAATATCAGACAACAAAATGACAATTTTTACAATCAAAATTTAGTTAAAATGGAACTTGTTTCCTAAGCCCACATCTGAATCATTTCATTATAATTGTCATCTATATTGAACATTTCTCAACATCATATATATTATACTGTTTATTTACTTTTAACAAACTCTAAAAATTCCCGCTATATAAAATATTTTGTAAAATGTCTTCTTCTATTTTTCACTATTTAACCTTTGAAGTGATTTGACGCGTCAACTGTCTTCGTCCTCAGAGAGGTTTTTGAAGATAGACTATATATATTAAACAATTATTGACTAGTGAACCATTGAATATGATGTGATATTCACCGGCAGATGACATATTGACCGAGGCGATAGCCGAGGTCAATATGACTTTCTGCCGGTGAATATCACATCATATTCAATGGTTCACTAGTCAATAATTGTTTTATTATATGAATAGGCTAAGAAATAAAAAAAAAATCACAAAAGTACAATTTTATATACATGTACAAATTTTGCTTCGTTGAAGCGCGGGGAAAAAAGACGCACGTGTTAGGCGTGCAACGACTACGCGAACGCTGCGCATACAAAAATAATTCAAGTTTATACTCATCATTGCGGTGTTACCTTTAAGTATAATAGAAAAGTATTGATATTTCAATCGAGAAATATGCCACACAGAACAAAAAGCAACAATTATTTTTTAATCAACACGCGTAATTAACAGTCTACGGTGTAGGATCATTGAATATGAGTCTCAATCTATTTTTAGACTGGGAAAATCCAATTCAGCCAGTGAATATGATACTACACCCAGTAAATATGATTTTATAAAAAGTTCTGTTGACTACTGTTTGGACCAATGAGATTGCAGCTATATTTAGATCATATAATAAAATAGAATATACCACGAGATTACAATTGCCACTTATAAGTGTTATCTTAAGAAAGTAAATGAAAGAGATTCTACTTATGAATGGTCAATGTAAAACCACTTAAGAACTTAAAAAAATATATGTTCATGATACATGTACTTTTAAATTAACGTTGTGTTGTCATCATTTCACATATTTAAAAAAGTATGAAAATGTCAACAAAATTTCGATTTCTGCTTAGAGTAAAATAAATAATATAAATGTTTTACATGTAATATAAATAGATGATTTTAGCAAATTGAATAAAAGTTTATTTATGTACATAAAACACGGGAAAAATCGGTTAAATAACGAAAATGATAAGCAAAACGTTGTATGTAATGGGCACAATACGAATCAGGAACCCCGCGGGCAACAGAATTTGCTGATAATTGTGTGTTAGCGTCCAAGTGTTAAGTGGTTCTTTCAAGTAATTCAAGTACTCGTTTTCACTTAATTACACAATTATTTCTTGTCGTCAACTTTCATTTGATCAAACTCATCCATCCTTAAGAAAGAATGAAGTAAAACGTCTGCCAAAATTAAAATATTTGCGTTTCATATAAAATTGGTATTAATGTATTTGTCAATATACCGAATATAATTTGCGTGTAACAATATTTTCGCAAAAAAGTTCCTTAACACCATCATTGTCTATTCAGAAAAAATGATATGTGTGACCGGGAGAAACTGTTCTTATCTATCTTTAAAAAATACAATTTTAATCGTTCATGTTTATTATAGTATTATTAATATTTTACGATGCTCCTTGCAGTACATGTGTATATAATTATTCATAGTGTAGTAAGAATTTAGCAAAATTACCAGAATACATACTATATACAAAACGGGAGGTTTGGCTTGCAAAAGGAATTTCGGTTAAAGTTGAGAGCTAGGGATATAATTCTAAAACACAAGGAATAGTAATATTAAAGTCCTTAGGAATTTCGTAGCCTCTAACATATTTTAGACACGTTTTATCAAAATAATTGATTAATTGTTAAATGAATTTACTGGAAAGAAATGATAAAACATATCATGGAGGGAACTATTATAAGACATATTTCCTAAATTTCATTTAACATGCTTTATCAAAGGTCGCAGTTGATTACACGTTCAAAAGATTAAAGTAGCTATAAAAGAATGTATTCTTAAAATTGACAACTTAAAATCAATTTTGCTACAAAAATAAAAGACATAAAGTGCCACTTGTATAACATTTTCGATAAATCTGGAACGCGTTGTCAGACATTAGTCTTCTTCTTGCAGATGCTCAATAAAGACATAATAACCACCTGTCAAACACAGCACACGTTTCGTTCTTATAAAAACATTTTTCATAATGAAACTACGAGCCAGTATACTCCAAGATTCTACCATTCACATACAAATATGTTAAATTTCAAATCAAAAAGTCTACGGATTCCACATAATCATACAATTTAGTGCATATATACATTAAGAATAATAACTATTCAAATAACTTATAATTGTATTTTGTTGTTCTAGAATTTTTATTTTTTCATTCCATTTGATAAACTTAAAGCGAGGAAGAGTATTCGCAATTTTATAAAAATTAAACTTTACAAAGGACAAACGTCAATTATGAAATTCTAGACAGAAATTGATTACTAAGTTATTGTTTCAGTAATTCAACTTAGGACGGTAATTACAATTTGTTATTTTATATTTTTAACGGAGAAAATACGAAAGCAACTGATGTATATCAAATTTTATATAATAACCTTTTAAACTTTCAATACACAATTTAAAAAATACATTAAAAGCCTTTTAGCATTTTTACGGCTAATATAACCCTTTGAAAATTGCTATGGCGGACCCGAATACTTAAGTTTTAACAATTGTAACATTTTTCGTATTTACAATGGCTTGAGTTTACAAGTACTTGATAAAATGTAAAAATTATCCTAAATGTTGCTGATGTTTGCTCTGATAAAAATAACAACCGTCAGATCACTGAATAACCCAAGTGGAAGTTTATGCATCGTCATTGTATTAAACACGTGGTAGGACAGCAGTGGGTCTCCGTCTAGGCGACCACGTCTTGTTTTTATTTCAATTAACAATCTTACACGTCTACATATATTCTAAAGTAACCATTTTAATGATATATTATATACTTAAATATGCATGTAGCAAGAGAGTAGAGCGGGTATTCATACCTAAAAGAAGAAACTAAATTGCACTTGATTTAATTTAAGTCTTAAATAACAACAAGAAATGTAACATCTAAATGAACAAAAAAAACCTTCTCGAATTCTTTGTATTCAAATAAAACAAATTTTGCAAAATAAATAAATAAGTTTGCAAAAAAGAAACCAAACAGAAAGTATCCAAGAAATGGATGTACAATAAATAATATGATATTATGTAAATCATGGTTACCTTACAAGAGCTGTAAATATTGTTTGATGCGCATTAAAAAAAACACACAATTGTGTATACAATAAGATATGCAGCTAAAGAATACAAATGAACGACTTTAAAACAAAATTATAAATAATATCAAGTGTAAACGCATTTTAAATTGAAATCATTATATTAAATGCTATATACTTCTATTCTGAATGATGTTATATAAAACTAATGTTTTGTACTTACACACTTCCTTTACGTTTTAAACATGAGTTGAGTAGAGAAAGAGCAGGCATTTCTTGTTGTTATAACACTCAACGCTGATTATATAAATATTCCAACCTTTTATCATTTAGCATAACATCATATTATTAAAATATAACTCCATTAAGTGGCGAAAAAATAACAAAACATCATCGGCAGCAAAGGTTATAAATCATTTAGAAACATCTGTTTCCCCGCACTGGTCATTGATTTAGCGCAAATGGTATAACATTAATCACATATGATTGTAATTCAATTTCACATATCAGTACTCCAATTATATCTGCACTAGTACGTCTGCTCATATTGACAAAATGATTACATGTTACTGTAATGCCCTTACACATCATATACCGATCTATTTGTTGCCATATTTGTGTATACTATTGATCATTTCCTACGCCTGTAAAATAACAGCACTAAATGCTTTGCCAAAGATAAACTAAAAACAATGCTTCAAGCCAAAACTACCTTTTAAATTGTAATCTAAAACAGAAATTATGTGAAATTTACTGTCTCCGATATATCATGCTTAAAGAGCTTACACCCACTGGTTACAAACTATAACAACGACAGTGTAGGAGGTTTTAAAAGCTTTGTCATAAAATTGTATGATAAAATACATATCACGAATGTAAAAGCACACAAGTTATAATGTATATGTTTGATTAATGACAAAATATATATGACCAGCTATAACAGAGTGTTCGTCAATTTGTACAGCACAAAAATCTAGGAAAAGGGCTATAAAACTAACTATTTAAAACCAATGCCGTCCACATTTGACCAAAATGATGTTTGAAATCTAAACAAACCCTATGGCTTTGATATATTAAAACAGATATGTCGCCGCCAATTTGATTAATGGTGTGCGTGTCTATAGGACTAAAACAAACAAGCAACCAGATTGATCGTATAGCAGTTTGTAGAGCAATACATCTTGAAACATGTTGCGTACACTGTGAAATTATTACCATACTTTAATGGTATTATAAGAAAAATCTATTACAATTAATAAATCTTATTCAGTTGACAAATACAAAGGTTCAAGAGGGAAAATGAAGTAAAGCTTTGGTAGAGAAAACGAATCAAAGCTGAAAGATGGTAAAAACGAGAAAATAATGGAACATATAATCGGGGTACACTATTTTGTCTCAATAACATTTTGTCAAATTTTCATATCGTAAAAAATATTGGTAGAGGCTTCACTTATGTTGGTATCCTCGTGCAAAAAGCGTGTGTTTAAATATCATTTAAACTGAAAATGCCGCCGGCACTTTCGAGTACAGCATAACATGCGATCATTCGTCATGTAGATTACGTAGAATTTAACCTTTAAACCTATTGGAATGATTAATTTTGAAACATCTGCTTGTAAATGTTCTTTTAAGTTGGACACTTTCTTGAACACAATGATTCGATTCAAGTGTTTCAAAAATGGTGGTGAATATGAATGGCTGTGGTCTTCAAACTTTTTACCTATACTCATCTGATAGACCTTTGTCACTAGTATAGAGCCAGGTTATATAAGAAGACCCTTTGTTATGTATGCTTTTCTTTGTGTTGGTGCCTACCGCTTAAATTATCAAAATTTCTTTAATGTTACAATAAAGGATAATGTAAATGGACTTTGTTTGATACGTAAACGGCAACATTTTGTAAACATGTTAATAAAATAATGCTACATTGATTATCCTACATCAATTTCAAAATCCTTCGAAACATTCTGTCAAATGGATTAAATATGTATACAGAGAGGGGAATATTGCATTCGTTTCTAACATTTTTGGACATCTCCTTGCTTTTTTGAATATATACAATACGAGTTTCAACATATTAAAATTTTCGAACCAACAAGATGAGACAATTTCTTTATTCTATCAATAGATATAGCCTCTTACCAGGTTAAAACGAAATATCTTAATTTGACAATGACAGCAATTATAATTAGTTTGAACATTTCTTTTTCAAAATAACTACTGGTGATACAAATATAAAGCAACAATTATGTTTATAACTTAAACAATAAAATACTTTTATCTATTTTATAATAAAATGCTTATTGTCATTTCGTAGTAAATGACCATCAAGCCGCATTTCATGTGTGAAAGCAATGTTTCATATGATCAACCTTTTGGCGAAAGTTATAAATTGATGTATTTTAGGAAAAATATGTTTTGATGCTGCCCGGCATTTTGCTATAATGGCCCATTGTTTATTATGGCCTATGGCTTGTATGCCGGGTCCGCAATGAAATACGGCGTCGAAATATCGCCGCTTAACCTACCTGTCGCCCTTAACAATTTCTAATAAATGTATAAAACAGTGTGGTCGTTCTGCTTATTTCCATGAAAAATTTGAAAATGTATTTGGTTAACTATATGGTTAAGTGAACTAAGAATGTAATTGTCCCTTCAAATCTACGTACATTAACAAAAGTTGTTCCAATTATAACAATGGGGTCAAAATTTGGGAATCATATGCTTTTCCATAAATGTTTATAGTAAAAACTTATAAAATTTTCTCGACTGAAGGTACAAGGCATAAGAGCTTAGATATTTGGTATATAACATTATCTATAGTTCATCTACCAAAGGTTTTCCAAATTTGCCACTAGTGTCAAAATTGGGCCCGCCCCGGGGGTCATACGTTTTCGTTAGGTTGCAAAAAGTGCAAAATCAATCATTATTCAAATATAACATGTAAATTATTATCTTTTTACCTTTCTTAAACTATAAGTAGATTGTCTGATTTTTTAAAAATATTTTTGCTCATCTGGAGACATGCAGCTTGAACAAACTTGTCAATTAAAATTATTAAATAAACCTGATAGATCATAATGAAATTGTGAAAGAGATGATTTATTGCTGTTAAACTGCTGTTTGAGAAAAAGATGAGGAGTTTTTTCTTCGTGTATGCCTAATCACATACATAATTGTTCAATCAACTATTTGCAAATACTCTTGGATTAATACAACTATCAGCTGATGGTTCTGGATTTTATCTGTTTCACATTGGTTTATAGTTATATTAATGAATCTGGAGATGTGCATGACACATTCTTAAGCGTTGATTTTCTAATTATTCCTGTATTCAGATCTACCGTTCATCTAAAGCATTTTGACGATGCAATAAGCATTAGCTGTAGCTTGCACTTACATCTGGCTCAATTAAACTGAGCCTGCGGCAATTTTTTCGTTCTTTAATGAATCCATTTTCTCTACTTTATTGATTTCTTTGAACTAGTTCATTTAAAACAATGTGCAAGTGACTCAAATATGTATTCCTTATTTACATTATGTATGTACTTTGCATACACTTATTGTGCAAAATGAATTAGTATTATGGCGACTGAAATTTCAAAACGGCCATAATAACATCTAAAGATCCTCAATTTATTACTTTTTTATAGTACCATCGGTATTGATACGCAGATTGATTTGTCAGTCGTTTAATAATTGATTACAGTTCCTCCTCTTTGTCAGCATTTCTAGAGTTGCACACATGGACGTCGTCATATTGAAAAAGGCTAAACAATCCTTATTATTTAACATATAAATCTATTTCGTAAATCTTTCGGTAAACTTAGATGATTTAAACGAAGGGAATGTGTTCAGCTGTTTCTTAAAATTTTATTTCCATAAATGCGTTGTTGTTGACGATGACAACAATGCAAGTAAACAGTAGTACAATTTGTTCTGTACAATCATTCGTTTGTAGATTATTTTAGTACGTCTGAAATAAAATGATATTTTGATCTAAATCAATTAAATCCCTTAATATAACAATGATGAGATAATTAAGCCATATTTACAACTGTTAACATCAGTTTACCAAATGCAGAAATATTTCCATATTTAGTAAATAACTGTGATAATTTTGTGCCGACTGACTTTATGAATCAACTCAACTCAATCAAACCGAGTCTGCATTTTTTATAATACTGTGGCTTTCAATGCTTCCGAGGGATCACCACATTTACAGACTTTTATAAATGGGTGGCGCACACAAATGATGAAATCATGATTCAATATATATTCTAACACGTTTCATACTTACCACCTTTAGAACAGAGAGATCAGTTGAGTGTGTGTATTATTGCTCGATTTATGCACGGCATAAAAATAGGAATGCTTGCTTGATATTTTAAAATTGATAACCCACATAATCCTTCCTATTATAGGTTTTCAATTTTAGCTTTTATATTAAACAATATTTATTTGATATATTTCTATTTAAATAATTAGGTACATGAAATAAATTTTAAGGATTGAGTAGGAATAGTAAAAAAGCTTTTTGAAAACTCTATATCTCTCCGTTATTTTCAAATACATCAAGAACTAATGATCATATCTTTGTTTGTCTTATGAACTCTTACCAAAAAGATTAAAGGTAATAGATGTAAGTTTCTATATTGATTTTAATGCCAAATATATTAAGCCGAAACGATCAACAATGCAAATCATTGTACTTCACTTATAAATTTACAAAGTTCACAGCCCCCGACATTATCCTCCCAAACGACAAGGTACCAAGAAGGGTACTGAACTAATATGTTGAATATTTCACAATACATTCATATCTTAATATGTTTGAACAAAAAAGGTTAAATATGTGTAAAAAGACATATACATGTAATATCATGTGTAAAACTAGTTTAAAAACCTCGAAGTCTATTGACTTTCAATGATACACGGCATAAACTTATGACGTCAGATTGACAAATTTATTCATATCTTCTTCCTTTAACGGATATATCTTTCGATAATCGCGTGAATTTATGCATTGATATTAAGTTTATTTATTCAAAATAGAGATGCCATTTAGTGATACGAAAACATAACCATTCTTGAAATTTACAGGCTTACTTTGATTGAGAATGATCGTTCAATGCCCCATGCACCGTCTTTTGTATCTTTATTGTACTTACAGAAATAACGTGAACTTTTAAGGGACCCACTGACGTTTTCTGACATGGTCTGATTAGAATTATCTTTTTGGATCTATTGATGTAGGAATATACCAATAATTCGTGTGAAATTTTTCAGACCATTTGCTCCCTTCGTATATCCAGAATAATAATTTTATTGTGCAAAATGACCTACAAGTGAAAAACATTTAAGCGCTTTGAACTAAAATCGGGCTACTGATCGCACTAAATATCGATTTTCCATTTTTCTGGTATATTTCTCTATTACCGTTTTAAGACTTTTCTTTTAGACTCCCCAGTTTATCTATGTAAACTTCTTCAATCTTATGTTTTTTTGGATTTTGGACCTTAGTGTAGCTCCTTACATGAATTACATTTCTATATATAATGCATTTTGAAAAAAATACACCTTTTAGAGTCAGTTCAAATGAGGTTATAGTTATCAGGTGAATCTTTCATGGGTAGCCTAAACAATTAAACAAAAGTCTTCAAACAAAGTCA